CTTAGCTCTCTCTCTGTGTTTCTCTCTATCTCGTGGTCTATCTCAGCTATCAGTGCACCTTCTATTTATAGCTGAGGAGGGAGATGATTGTTCAACAATGGTGGGCAAGTTAGGCACCTACCATTTGACTATGACTTCAACCGTGGCTGCCACCAACCATGGCTGCCACCAAACATGGCTGCCACCTACCATGGCTGCCACCGTCCATTTGTGTCCACACACATAACATCAAGTACTTCAAAACTTCCCAAAGCTCTTTCGTTCTCCTTTGGCAAAACAGCTTCAGCAAAGCTCTTTGACATTTTCTTTATCAAGTCATTAGACAAGGGAACAAGATTTTGTTCACTAATTCCAACCACTGGAGTAGGAACACACTTACATGCGGCCCCGATCTGCTCACCTGCACTACTTTCTGCCTCTCTTCACAAAAACGAAAATCATCTAGCATGGAAGACTGGCTTTCATGGTTTTTAAACATGCCTAAATCTCAACTCCCTGTTCCAGCTCCACCTGCAATTATTTGGGCCAGCATAAAACATATTTCACGATAAATATTTTTCAGGAAACATAAAAAAATAGGGTGGTGGTAACTGGTAATGGAAGATCGACAATTGGCCTGTGTTCATCTTTCCTATAGGGTTTTTGACACCAGTATATCTATATTCATGCAAAAAGGGTCATTCATTAACTGCAAAAAGATGTCCTTCAATGGCGTGGATCACTAGTTTCAAGATGAGCTATACGCATGCATACTGAGCACCCAGGATTATAACAGCTAAGACTAGCAAAGTTGCCACCATTCATCATTATAAAAGTAAACGACCTTGGAAGCCCTAAAAACGCCATTCCATTCACTATTGTGTGTGATTTAGAACACACACACACACATTTAACAGTATTAGCAGTCTAGGGAATTAACTATAGGCTATCGTGCAAATATTTATAGATAGCTAGCTAGGGAACCAGTGACGTCATGAAGAATCAGAGGACCCAAGGGATCTTTTGCTTCTAGAAAACAGTAAACACAAGATGCAAACACAAGATAGCTTGTTTCATCAAGTTTATTTGTATCGTTAAATTTGGTAGGGAATCCATGTCAACTCTTTCAAAATCTCTGCTTTCCAGAAAAACATCCCCATTGTTGACATTTTTTCTAACTTCTAGTCTATACTAGAAATAAATTCGAGAGTACTTTCTTCTTGATTTACAAGTGAATTATCTAACGTTTTTTTTTTTTAAATATTCTTCTCAGCTTTATCAAGATCACGTGCCTTCTATTTTGTCAATTTGATAAGAATCCTCATCTATATTAAGTATTCTAATTAGAGGCACCTATTAAGAGGCACCAAAGTGAAGGTAAGCATGTTTAAAGAGACTAGATCAAGTTTAATAACCATGTAAGCATGCATTTAAATAGAAAAAAAGAGAGTAAAAACACTTAATTGAAAAGGTCGGAGAAATAATACACACATACGCAGGCACTTAAATAGAAAACATCAAAGGAGTGGAACCAGACTTAATATTTGCGCAAGTAGAGGCACCAAAGTGTTCATTATAATACAAAATACAAAAAGAAGAATCCCCCAACCACTGCTTTCTATAGTTGGGCGAAATAAAGCAGTCTCTCTTAACATCTCAATCCGAAAAAAACCTAAAGACCTGATAACCACGCCATGTCTCAGGTTCCTCTTCTTTTCATTCTTTCAATTCTTTACGCATTAACTGTAAACCTTGCTCTCTCTCTCTCTCTTTTTTTTCCATTTTTTTCTTTCTGGACTGAACCCTAACGGATCGGGTTTTTTTGTAATTATTACGAAATTAAATTAACAGTTTTTGGATGCTAAGAGTTGGGTTTCGTTCATATTACGAATTGCTGAATTGAATTTTTTTAATTTGAGATTGTAAGTGGACTTCTTACTGTTATTATCGGTTTATTTATTCTTCAGGTGGATAGCAGAAATTCATCAGCAGCGAAGCGTGCAAGAACTGACGGTATGCAATTCTTTTTATATCTTTATTTTTATAATAAGCTTTTGTCTTTTAAAGATTTGAGAACTTATACATACTAAATTGGCCATACTGTATGCATTTTCAATAGGTTCTGCTTTTGGTCATGAAGTTGGAAATAAGTTGTGTGCTTTCTCGTGTAGGTAGTCGCAGGGAGGATGACTGGACTTGTCCAAGCTGCGGCAATGTCAACTTTTCATTCAGGACAACTTGTAATATGCGCAATTGTACCCAACCCAGACCAGCTGATCATAATTCGGTTAGTTGTAACTGTACTGACCTGCTTTCCTTGTTATAAAATGATGTTGGTGTGTTTAATGTATGTTCGGTTCTTCTGAAATTGGATTTAAGTGGATCTTGTAATACCAAGAACCAAACCTTATAAACTGAGAGAAGATTGTCTGCATCGAGCAGCTAGTGTCAAGACCATTAGTCACTTAGTTGAAAGTGGGTTGATTTAGGATGACGTTATTCACTTTTCCTCTTTATACTCTCATTTTGTTATGGTATTTGACTTTTCCTGCTGTTTGTTTTGGATTCTAATCAATATATTTGCTCCCCCTGGACACCAGAAATCTGCTGCCAAGCCCCTGCAAGCACCACAGGGTTACTCATCAGCCCCATATTTAGGTTCTGGTGCACCTGCTTCAATGTATATGGGTGTGCCGCAATATGGGCCCTCCCTCTTCAATGGATCCTCTATTCCTACATATGACATTCCGTTCACTGGGGGCTCAGCTTATCATTACAGCTATGGCAGCCGCCTTTCTGGTGGCAGTCCATATAGACCGTTGCATATGTCAGGACCACCTCCTTACTCTGGTGGATCTATGATGGGAAATGGTATGTTCTTGTTTCTTTTCTCCAACTTGTTTCCTTAAAAATCCTCATCGTGTTCTAGGATTGTATTTTTGTTTCTTCTGCTTTCCCTAATTATTACTAGTATTTTTTGTTTTTACCATATGTTACCAACTTGTCGTTCATGTTCCCTTGCTTTTCTTCCTGGTTTTTAATTTATTCGACTGTATTGTCTTCTGTTGTTATATTTGATATATTGAACTTGTGGTGTCATCTATTTCTAATTATTGTTTCTTTATTACCAATGGTCTCTCCAGATGCTTTCTATTGTAGGTTATGTATGTATGTCTGTTCTTTGAATGATTAAGGTTGCATTTATGAGGTAATGACCTTTTTTCTTTAAATTTTCTGCAGGTGGGATGTACGCAATACCCCCCCTAATGGACCGGTATGGATTGGGTATGCCAATGGGCCCTGCAGCGATGGTATGTTAGTAATTATTCTCACTGCTAGTCCGATTGGTTGTGGAATTTATGAGACAGGTCCAGGGCTTTAAAATTGTGACTTTCATGTTATGCTTAATTGGTCCTTGCTTCATGTTCCTATCTGTTTGCATAAATGTGAAAAGTGCTCCTGTATATGTGCTCTTCTTTGTATTTTTAAGGGCTTCTCGTAGTTTGCTTATATGTTTTTATATAACTTGATAGTTCATGTTTAAGCATACAACAGTCACTTTATTTGTCCGCCAATTGGTGAGCATTTTGTGTTTATGCATGGAGCTATCTGTTTGTAGTAAAGAAAATAAATACGCATTTAAATACATGGTTCATTATGTTTATAGATTCTAGAAATATTCCCTTGTGGATATGAAATTGATTTCATAAATGTATTCTATTTCTTCCAGGGGCCAAGGCCAGGATTTTTCCCAGATGATAAATCTCAGAAGAAGGGTTCAGGTTTGTCATCAATACGATGTGTATGGGAAACAGCTTGCAACTTATTTACCCTCTAACCTTGATCTTTACTTCTTGTAACGCTACTTTAGATGCGACGCGTGATAATGACTGGACATGCCCAAAATGTGGGAACATCAACTTCTCTTTTAGAACTTTTTGCAACATGAGAAAGTGCAATACACCAAAGCCAGGATCCCAGGTTTGTGCTACTTTCTTCATAAAGATAGAAGAACCACTCTGTTTTTTTCGTTGGCATTTTTCTGTCATGTAATTGGCCCTTTTGAGCAATCTATTTATCATCTGGGACTCTGAACTTGGATAAGCTTAGATGATTATTTGGAAGTTGAAGTCATAACTTGTGTACAAGAATCTATATTGGTTTAGCTTGAACCTTTTCACAGTAATGTTAATCTGCCTAATTTGTAGCTTCCACTTTTGTTTAATACTGGTAAGTTGTCTAATTTTCAATATTTTCTTGTCATTACAGGCTGCCAAGTCTGACAAAAATTCCAGTAAGTCATCTTTAATCCTGCTCATGGTGAGCTTCATATTCTGAAATAATACTGACAAGGTTCATGCTTTTTTAGAACAAAAAATGCCAGAGGGAAGCTGGAAGTGTGAAAAATGCAACAATATAAACTACCCATTCCGGACCAAGTGCAATAGACAAAATTGTGGGGCTGAGAAACCTTCCGAGTCAGCGAAATCCCCTTCTCCAGAACCAGATGAGGTTGAACAGGTTTGTCATGTGATTCATCTTGACTGTATTTCCATTTCTTGTATGGAACTGTTATTTTCAGTAATCACATATGTACTCTTCACAAATTCAATGACTATTAGTGAGAAGGATGTTTGGCTGACCCGTCTCCCTTCATTCTCCATGCTCTCCCTCTCATCTGTTATCTTCTTGAAATGCACTTCACTAATTGTCAATTATCTCTCTCATGGCAACCATTGATTTACAATTGTCTACTGTTCCAGTGAGTTCTAGGACATGTTTGGGGTTTGAGAAGGTCCAGAGTTGTCGTCCAGCATTGCTCAATATGGGTGTCTGAAAGTCAGTCTTGTCGTCCTCAGGTTGCAGCGGTTGTCGATTAACCATACCTTCTCATGATGTCTGTCAAGTTGTATTACCAGCGATGGTATTGTGGTCTACTGGTCTTTATGGATCATTTGATGCATTATGTGTCTGCCAGATTAATCTGGTTGAGATTCTACAGGTTGTTTATGGTTTCTATCAGTTAGGCATTTGTACTTTTGGAATCATTCATCTATTCCAGTGGGATGATACCATGAATTTAGAATACTGCAGTCTGCATATTTCTTACTCATTTGATGAAATTGTGTCTATGCCATTGAAATTAGCTGACAACTTAATTAGGTTCCTTTCCCTTCTAGTTGTGTGTGACTCGGTCTGGAGTTTGGACTCTTGATTTGTAAAATTAGAGCAGGGACTGTCAGGACTGGCATGTTTGAACCTGTGGGAAGGTTTTGGGTAGCTTTTTTTTAATATCTATTTAGCACTCATTGTTCGGCTGGCAAAAAATTTAGAGCTGGTTGTGGTTCGTGGATGGAAGGTATGTTGGCACTAGCAGTAGGTGCATAACTTTGTTTAGTCCCCTTTAGCCTGCAATTTGTTCGTTCAGAAGTGCGTGGTGACATTCTAATCTCCTTTGGTTCTCTCCGAGGAGACAGATTGTTTTCAGAATTGGCATGGGGTTGAACCACCTTAGAGGGATTGTTTTCCCTTATTTTAATGCCATTACTATTTAGTGGGTAAATCTCATTTTAGTGTGGATGGATGCACATTCCATCTTTTAGTGGAATTATGATTCCATCCTGTTTTCGGTGTCATTATTGTTCAGTGGATTACTCTCATTTTAGAATGGTTGGAATTCCGGAATGTGGTTCCCCTGCAGGATTGTTTCCTAAGCTCCCGTGGTTCCTCGATATCCGACGCCAACTGTTCATGATGAATTCGAGGTCAGACCTGAAAAGAAAGGTTATTCAACGTTGCTTCTGAGGAGAGGGATATTGGCGCTCCCAAACCCCTCACCATCGGTCCGAACCTCAGTGACCTGACTGTTTCATTATCCCTCCCTGAACCACCTGTCTTTTGCTTTCCATTCTTCGTGGTGCAGTTGTTGCCTTCTTTGCACAAAATGAGTTTCCACCGACGGGTAGCTATTACTTTTAACATTAAAATGGAAAGAGGTGATAAAACGATGGAGTTCACCTGATGAAGCATTTTGCGTGAGAGTAGGAAGCTAATCTAATAAAGGAGAAATCTCAGTTAATGCGAGATGTTGGGGACAAGACGAAGCTCAATTCCATGTGTCTTCGAGGCAGAAATTGATGTGATTGCCTTGTAGCTCGTCAAAATTTGTTGTGATTGCCTAAAATCCAGCGAGTAACGAAGGAGAGATGATGAATGGATGACATGTCATCCATGCAAATGACGTCGTGTTTTATCTAAAAAGGAATTAAAGGGGCATATACTCGAGCCCAAGCAAGTCGAGGCTCGAGGCTCGAGGCTCGAGGCTCGAGGCTCGAGGCTCGAGGCTCGAGGCTCGAGGCTCGAGGCTCGAGGCTCGAGGCTCGAGGCTCGAGGCTCGAGGCTCAAGGCCCGAGATCCTTTTTCTCCCCTTTATATTATTGTTTTTTTAATGATTTACGTTGTTGAATTTCTTGTTTTTTCTTTTGTTATTGTAATATTAATATAATGAAATATCATTTTTGTTTATTTTTTTTTAAATCATGTTATCTTGTTTAGGATTTTTTGCATTATATTTCTGTGATTAAGTTGGAGATTTAAAATTGTATTAAACTAGTTAATATCTTGATCTAATCTTTTAATTATCAAGTTGTTTGGAAAATATACAATAAAATACAGATGGTAATTATTTTTTTTGAAAAATCATCAAGAAACAAATCTTTACTAATAATATAAAACTTTAAACTTTAATCCTTCTGCACTCTACCGAACACCAACTTAAAAGGATCAAAGGATCGCGTGAAAGAATTCACGTCAGCATATTCCTTTTTGGTGGTGGAAGGCAACCCACCATATTCCTGCAGCTGTTCAGGAAATAATTTCAAAAAACAATTCTTCATTTGCCATTTCTACTCTAAAATTATTTCTCTATAAAAAAAATTAGAATAACGTGTGAGTATAAAAGATATTATTAAAATTAAAAAAATTAATTTCTAATCTTTTAATTATTAAGTTGCTTTTAAACCTTTAAGAATAACTATAAAAGATATCACTTATAATATAATTTCACAAGAATAAATATAAAAGAAATCCTATTTTTTTTAAAAAAATTGTCATTCATAGTAACATTACGTTTTTTTTTTCCAAACCTTTAAGATCTGTATCCTTTTGCTACAACATGAAGCTCTACACTTCTTTATATGTAAGTTTCAGTTTAGTTTTCTTTTTTTTTAAAAAAAAAAAACACAATTAACCGAAAATGCTCACCCTAGGTTTCATCATGCGAACAAAAAGGTAACTCATGAAGAGCCCCCCAAAAACTATCGGTCTGCAGCCAGCACTTGCATGAAGTAAATAAACTTAGATAGAGATGACAACAAGTTTTCGAATCACTCATGCTCATAGTTCACATCAGAAACATGTAGGGCTGAAAGATCATTCATACCTGCAGTTAAGTACTCGCAATTTCCAGCATTTTACAGCTCAAGAGGTAAACTCACTGGCGCCTTGCCATGTCCATTAACGGAAGAAAAAACAGTAGTTTAGATCCCGAGGGATTTTTAAAAGATGCTTCAAGGCAATCGCAGGTTGCAATTTAAGTCTTAGGTTCCTAGAAATTTTATTAACTCGGATCACGATGATCTTCAAATCAGTGTTCTATCCTTGACCACTCCAAATGTTTACTTAAGGAGAAATGTCATAGAACTTCACAACCACCATGATCCGAATCCTTACAGCATGAGCCAGGATCGTCAAGTTCCTGAAGAAAATGGAAAACACTAGTCAGATTACTACAGGCACTGAAGAATTTTTGCAGTGATATGAAAACTTCACCATAACTATGAGTCATATGACCTCCGGACCTCCAAGATCAGAATCCACTAAGAGTTTTAAGGGCAGACAAATTTCAAGTATTTGGGCACTCTCTCATTTGAGAGCGCGTGAGCTCCCCTGTAATTACAGCCTGTTGTGGCAACATGCAGGACATCACCTGGACTTTACTACCACATTGAATGATTTCAAATAATTTCCACCAATGCAGGATACTATGATATAACTTCCATATCCACAAGTGCTGAGGGTTTTAAGGAAGACTGACCACCACATAATTACTGTAAATTTTTACAATGAGCACATGAAAGCATTATTTACCTACACTAAATGTCAAACCAGATACTGACCTTCACTTCATTTGTTAAGATGAAAATGATAAATCACTTCAGCAGTCAGTTCATGTGACTGGAATAGAAGTCATTCCCGTTTGATGTTCTTAACAGCTGAAACTCTTGAAGGTAATTGCTACCATCAGTGCGTGAACTCAAGGTATGCACTTGAGGGTCATTTGACTGTTGCTCAGTCCTCCAGTACTCTGATGAAGCAAGTGGTGAGCTTTGGGGTACAGCGTGCAGCACAGACTGATGCATGCTGGTGTGATTTGCATGCATGGGCTGTTCAAATGAAATAGATTGTGGCTCACATGAACCCCATGAATCGGTTGACAGAAGAGAGAGAGCACGGTGAAATTCTGGTGTTGCACGATGAAATTCTGGTGTTGCTTCCGCTTTGGAAGGAATGAGGGAGTAGTCCAAACCTGAAAAGTTCACATTCCTATTAAATTTAAGCATTGATTTTAAGAAGAGAATCACTCCAGACAAAAAAGAAAGGCCTAGCATAATAGTTCTTATCTCTATCCATGAAGATTTGCACTATTAGCTGTCTTCATAAAGTGCAACATTTCCAAAATCATGCTTCATCCATATGACTTTAGAAACAGTCATAGTTAACCATCTACATGTTCTTAAGATTCTTCTATAGTCATTAAGATCCTCTTACTTGCACCAATAAGCAAAAAACACAGAAAAATGTTCACTTTGCAATCAGCCACCGCATTGTACATCTCTAATTTCCAAAATTAAGCAGAGACATGCTTAAATAAACTTGTAATTTTGTAAACCACCAGGAAAATTTAATTACAAGACCCTACAGGCTTTGCCACATTTACTTGCATTCATAATAGCCAAAATCAGTGGTATATATGTCAAATATCAGATTTGGCATCCCATGGATTGCACTGCTGAATTATATATATCATGTGTATCTAACTATCATCCATGTATCTTCAAAACCTTCCGATATTTTCAGAAATATCACTGTACTTTAACTCTTAAAAGAGGCTCCAACCACGTGTCACATTAGGATTATTTTAAGCCACCAAAGCAACCAATAGTCTTTGCTTATGCTGCAATCTTGTACATCCTTGTTGCATGTACATGGATGTGTGTAGCTTTGGATCTATGTAAGCGTACCATAACACAAGAAATACAGCAGGAAAACAAAGAGCAAATGAGCCCCGTGACCAAGTGCACACAGACAGTGGACAAATCCTAAACTTCAGTGAATCAGAGACAACAGTGTTGGAAAAGCGCATTATATACAATTTAGCAGCATTGAGGTTAAAAGTAAAAAATTGAATCAATTAATATAATAAAAAAATCATATTCATTTCAAATCAAATAGCATAGTGCAACCTGAATAACACAATATGTTGTTCAACGTTTAATCAAGTTTATTACATGTTAATTTTGTTATGCAAGGTTAATATTCACTTATTTATTTTACAGTAGTTACAATTAAGGCCCATCGTGCCTAGAATCCATCAGTTAAATATCTTACTTGCACAGGTGTGTCAAAAAAAAAAAAAAGAAGCAAAAGTGAATCAATTAATATATTCCAAAGTCCTTCAAGCAAAATTTTCATAATTTCACTACGAATTTTCCATCACTTTTTAAATGCTGATGTTGATAGGTTGATATTTGATTCAGAAGAAATTTCATAGAGGGACACATTTTTTGGACCTTGATACATTCTTCAGTCAATAAGAAAGCCTTGTTTCATATCCAATGATTGAAGCATTAGCAACCTCACTTTCAGTTCTAATCTGCAGTCACAAGCCAACAACTTATGGCTTATTGCATTGGTTAAGAGCACATTCCAGGTCCAGGACAAATGCCAAAGATGTATAGACATTGAACTCTCACTGAATAAATTGAAAATTTAAGAAATTTTTAAGGCGTTGATTTTAGGGTTACAGATGGGTGAAACTCGATGTTGTGAGTTTCATGAAGAAAACAGTAAGTTTCCAAATCATCCACCATTTACAACACTAAAAATGGACTCACCTGGTGAATCTCACAAAGACATGCTGTGATGTTTATTCCTCTTCATGTCCTCTTCATATGAAACAAGCTCTTGTTTGATCTTTGGTTAAATGTTACATTATTTTTTGTTTTACTATTGGCTACTGGAGCACATAGTTACTTGTTAGACATATCAAGGAAACCTTGATAAGAAATCCAAGTAAAAAGTTTATATGGCACTAACCAAATCATCAACATTTAGAAACTCAATGCAATAATTGTGAGGCTTGTTTCTCAAAATGAAGACAAAACAAACCCTGGTTGAGAACCTCACCTGCAGTGCCCTTGGCCTTGGATGGTAAGAAGCCATTAGACTTATGATGGTGCTGAATAGCAATGCTATTTGTCAGATCAATGCCAGAAAAGTGGAGTCTCCTATCACTACCACCTATTTCTGCAGGCTTTGCTACATACTCTTTCGTTATTGTGAACTTGGAGGTGGATGTGCTTTCCCATGTCAAATTTGCATTGGGCCTGGAATGAACAAGGGGCGCCTTATCCCAAACATGACTCATCTGTTGCCTCTCATCTGCATAGGTAAACAAAGATCATGTTTAGTTTATTAATGGTTATCATGGAATACCAATTTACTTGCATGAACTTAAGTATCTCGAGTTGAAACAATATTTAGTCCCACATGTATAGGAGACAGATGAGATGTAGGGCTACCACAGGTTTATTTTGTTAAATAAAGCTAACCAAGAATTCATTAAGGGAAAGCCTTTTGGGGGATTGATGAAGAAAAATTAAACAATCAATGGACACAATGGATTCTGTCACATGCAGCATATCACAGGGTCACAACATATAGTAAACATATAGTAATATCCATAACTCACACTGAAGGTTCCAATGATCAAAGCAGGTCAGACATGCTGGAAGAAATCTTTGAAACTATAATACCACACTATGTTTATTTGTTAGTGATTTCAAAACCAAATAAATCAGGACATTAACTTGCTAGTGTCAGGTTACAATCAGAAATAAATCTTCTTCTTCTTTTCCTTTTGAATGCTTGATTAGAGGAAATTTCTATTTGGAAAAGATCGTTAAATTAATTTGAGAAGTGAAATTCATACAAAACTCACCAAAGGGGTCTCTTTCCTCCATTTGGTTTAGCCTCATTAAGGCAAAGGGAAATTTATAGCATAATCTACACAGCTTCATTTCAGAGTACATGGGAAGATTGAGAAACAACCAAAACAAAGATGAATGACAATAGCATAAACTAAAACAATGACAATAGCATATTCTATAAATCAGCTTCAAGAGAATAATAAAGGACTCAGTTCAATACCAATACCATATAAAGATGAAGAAAGTCTTGAAGGATTCAAATGGACAGATCCTGGCTGTTTGCGGCGTCTTGCATTGTGATCAGAAAGTCGCCTGCGGCAGCTTTTCTTCTTTTCATCAAACTCTGACAGACCATGGAACCTTTGACATTCAAAATGCAGACAATGTCACACCAATCATATGAGCTGGGAATTATCATTACTATAATTACTAATTGAGGAAAATAGGCATCATCAATGTATCGCCCTAGATAACAACAATTGGCAACAAAACGAATAGAAGATGACCCATTCTCATGCACTGTCATCTTCCAGAAAACAACCATTCATTTCATTAGAAGCTTTACCTGCTACACTGCTGGCAAAACCTGCGTTCCAAACCAGCTACAATGACCTTTGAGCACTTTGAATGGCTTTCACAAACTCTATGTTTGCGATGGTAATCTTTAGCTGATGAGAGGTCAAGGTTACAGCCTTCTACTTGACAGCGTGGAGCACGCTGAGTATGATTACTGGACTTCAATTTCTTTGCTGGAGTAAAGGAAGGCACAGGAATTGTAGAAATTGATGAAGACTGAGCATTGCTCCCAGCACAAGCATCTTCAAAGTATGTTCGTTTACCAAGCTTCAAACCAAGTAGCTGATCACCTGAACCAACTGAAGCTTCAAGCGTGGGAGAAGTATCAGTTGCCTTAGCCTTCACAAGTTCTTCCTTATTGTAATCTGATGGATTTGTTTTAGAGGCCTCCAAAGTGAATTTGGATGTTTTAACTTCCCCAGCTGATGAAGAATTGGTGGAAGCTGACTTCGAGCTCTTTGAGAAAGAAGCAAGTTCCAAGTCAGAGATAGATCCACGGCTTCTGCTTACACTCCCAGACGAATAGAAAAACCCAGAATCATTTCCTTTTTCTCCATCAGTTTCCAAATCTGCTAGGCTTAACTGCTTTGAATTTTCATTTGTTATTGCATTGAACATTATCAGGTTTTCCCAGTCCCACTGCAAGTGGGGTTTGCCATTCCACTCCATCAGCGAGACAGAACTCATAGAATCACTTCACAAAGAGTACTTCATGTAATCCACAAGCGATTAGAAACCAGATCCTGCAATCATCATGATATCAACGTTTCTATAACTTAAGGAAAATAAAGAATCAAATTGCAAATTTAAACATGCAAAACTCAAAGGATACTGATATAGAACAGAATTGGAAAGAGGTTCGGCAAAAACTGATAATATAAAAAGCACATGACCCCGAAAAAGTGAAGAACACAGCTGACCTTTAAATCTTGATGTATCTAAGTGCTAGTCATCTCTGTTTATGTAAATAGGAAAGCCAATCTTTATTCCGTTTACGAGAACAATATCCGATCTGCTTCTTCCCCAATATTGCGAAATAGCTCCTCTTGATGCCTACAAATGCACTGAATCTCAATCTCAGAGAATTCGAACAAAGCACCAGATAAACTTTAACTAAACCAAGTAAAACCAGTATCCACTAAAATAAAGGTCACTTTTTAACCCAGTATATTCTCTTGCAGAAATCAATCAATCTCCAAATCTACAAACACAAACATCCACCAATCAGTTCACAGATCACAGGCACAGCAACTTGAAACCTCTTAACCTCGAGATGCTGACACAAAAATCTCCCCTCCCTTCAAATCAAGGAAACCGAACACAAAAAACAATCAAATCCCTCTACTTTTATCCATATTTACCTCTCCTAGACCCAACCATGAACTCTCAGAGTGTTAACTAACAAAGTTGTCTCTCTCAAAATCACATCTTATCCAAGCACACCTGATAATTGCTCCCTAAAATCCTGCAACACTTTGTGGTCAAATTCCTCTAGGAATTTACCACTCATCATAAAAACCCCTCTTTCACTCCCTCCCTCTCTCTCTCTCTATATATATATATATCTCAATTGTCTCTTTATATCTAACTTGTATCGAATGGACCTGGTTTCACCTTTTCGCCATCAACAAAAGGCAAGCAATAATTCACATTGAAGTTGTTTGGGCTAATCACAGCAAGTAGGCCCCTGAATAAGAATCATACCGACTCGTCACCTAACTTGTTTAAAAGAATCTTACCCCCCACCCCACACACATCCACTAATTCACTCAGAATAAAAACACAGAAAAAAACAAACTAGACTTCGTACCTTGCAGAACAAAACAAAAAAAAAGTAAAGGCCCCCCCACTCTCAATCATTCCTATTCTTGGCAAGAAACGACACATCGTCTCGTAGCTTACTCTTCCAAGAACTCAACCAATAAAAAAAAAAATGTACCACCACTGCTACAGCCGACATAAAAGAAAGGTAGAAACAAAAGAAAAGGCACTCTGTAAAATTTATTTAAAAAAAAAAAAAAACTTTCTTTGGATGAAAAGTCCCCACTCTTAACTATTGAGAAAATGGGATTCCTCATTTTTAGAAATTCCACAGCTCTTTGGTCTACATGAAGCCACAAACTTTAAATTTCCATTTACATATATAAAGGGAAGACACGTGACATGAAGCTACGAAAAAGCTATCACCGTTAAAATCCTTTTGTCTCTCTTCTATTATTGTGATATCCCAAAGCATCACAAAGGAAATAATGCTACAGATTTTCATTTTTTTTTCTCAATTTGAAACTTGAAAGAGTGGAAAAAGATAAAAGAAAGGAAGAAAAACTACTGGTACTACTACTTACCCTTCAGGGGAGGGAGAAACAGAAGGGATCTCCGTCAAAAAGCCGCCTGAGAACTTTATTTTTAATGCTGTCTGTGATTAATAAGAGCAGATGAGGAGGTGAGAAGCAGAAAATGAGGAGCTTGCTTCCTTGCTTTCATTACACCACTTGACTTCTTCTTGTTACTGTGTGAGGGAATAAATGCAGCAATTACAGCGAGCCTTTCCTTTCCTTTTTATTTTGTTTTTTTGGTTTTTTTTTGGGTGGTGGATTCCTGTTATGTTATTTTTGTGGAGAAGTTCATAATCGACACGTGGAAATGGGACGTCCTCGCTTGCACAGACACGCCCTCTCCAAGGGTTCTTTTCTTTTCCTTTTTCAAGTAAAGGAAATAATTACATAAAATCTTGGCGTATTGTTATTAAATTAAAGTAAAACAAGCTTAGAAGTTTTGGATATAAATAAATTAAATTATGTGAAAGTTAATATGATATAATTTTATTAAATTGATATATTTAAAAAAAATTAAAAAACACTTGAGATATCACAAGTTAACTTCTAAGCTAGTAACACATATCATGAAAAAATAATAAAAAATTCAATAAAAACAAATAATAACATGTGAAATTGAAAAAAAAAATAAAAAAATAAAAGAGAGATTCATGTGCCTAAGTCATTTATGTTTTTTTTCCTTTAAAGGGGACAAATAACTTTTTTTATATTAAAAAGGTTATATGAAATTCAATTTTATATTAACAAAGCATTATATAAAAAAAAATTAAATCAAAATATTTTTTTTTTAAGAATCTGAAATTTTCAAATCTAATTTCATCTTATAAGGTCACAAAAGCTTTCAACCAGAAAAAAAAATATGAATTTTTTTTTGAATTGTTTGTTTTCAACAGTTCTTTCTTGTTAATTTACATATAATTAAAATAAATAAATTAATTAATTAATTAACAAGTTGGGATTTCCTCAACCGAAATGATGGTCAAATAAATAAATAATAGGAGGTGGCATTATTGTAAACAAGTTGGGCTAGTTGACAACATGATATTAAGAACAAGTTCGATAATCAAATCCAACCTAAGATGTGTGACCGAAGTCTCAAGATATTATAAGTCGGTCTATTGGAGCTGGCAATGCTTTTTAAAAATAAAAATAAAAAATAAAATAAAAAAGGATAAACTTATTAATTTTACAATCAACTTGTTGATATTAAAATATGAAATCTTCTGTGATTTAAAAACAAAAGCACGCAAGATTAATAATATAAAAGCATAGAACTGTTAATAAAAAATAAAGTTAATTATAACCTAGTCCTCGTAGTTTAACCAGCCAACCAATCAGTCCTTCTGTTTTTTAAAAATCAAGATTTGATTCCTGATCTCACAATCTATCTATGAATCAACCCCTCTATCAATTCCATATTCCTTTTCAATGTATTTCTAAAAGAAATAGAATATAGAAAATAAGTAGGGAAGACGGTAAATTTGAATAAGTACGGTGGCCTTTTTGGTCAAGCGATTATTTAAATATTTTTAAACTAATTTATACTTAAATCTAAAAAAGCGTGGTATTTAAAAGATGCAAGATCTCGTCTATATGATTAGTCCAGGAGATCCACGTGAGGTCACTAGGTTATGTTTTCTAGTTTTTACTTGCTCTTTTACTGATTCATTTCTTCCTTTTTTTTTTAAATAGAACGTGGCTACATGACCATGCTCCGCCGATAAAGTTGTTCGGAGGATATTTCAGGGTTGTTTTGTTTGTGTCAGGTCTCACCGGAATTTCACGAGGTTTTGATTCATATTATTTTAAATTAAATTTTTTATTAATATTTTTATATGCTATGGTTAAAGATATATTTTGAAAAATAATAATAAAATATCATTTTTATACGTTTTAAAAATAAAAAATATTTTAAAAAATTACTGTTACCGTTGCCCCCAACACCCTCGAGAATCCCCCCCTGTATATTTTATTTTAATAAAAAATTGTCAACAGATAATTTTCATTTCAAATTTTCTTGGCAGATTTGCCACACACACCCACATGAACACATGCATGTGAAGGGCGGCATGTGTAACTTAAAATTCCAAGGTTATTGAATTAAATATTTGAGGAAACCAAAGCTTTTAGAAATCACAAATGACACTGCTCCTTTCGTTTTCAAGTTTTTTCTGCCACAGGTTTTGGTGCTCTGAATAATAATTGATGCTTTGGCTTCTTGCTGAGTCCATTATTCACAAAAAAATTATTTAATTTATAACCTCTCCCCTAGAACTCAAACCAACGTGATAAAGTGAAGAACAAATACCCATAGTTCTCAATCCAAGACTTTGAGAGCAGCTATGCTTGTTTTTTTTCAAAATAACATGTTAACTTCTTATTGGTGTGCTCTTCACACATAGAGTTGCTTGTAAATTATTCTATATAGTTCATCAAAATAATAAATAATAGATTTCGTGGAAAAGAGGCGGTGTTGCTACCTAGTTTATTAAAGCGGATTGGTAGCTTTTAGTGTTTGTCAAGAATAGATAGAAATTATGTTTTTAAAAAATTTAAATTTTTTATTAAAAATTAATCTTTTTACCTGTTTTGAAGTATTAATTTTAAAATAATATTTTAAAAATAAAAAAATATTATTTTAATACATTTAAATAAAAAATATTTTAAAAAATAATTATAATCACACTTTTAAACAAGCTTTTTCTATATTGCTTATAGACTCGTGAGAGTTCAAAGTTTGGAAAATAAATTGGTTTAAAATAATATTATTTTAAATTAAAATAAATTAATTTATATTGATAAATTTAATTTTTTACATGGAAGTTCATCAAATCTAAAACTTAACTCAAGTTAATTAAAATTGATAAAATTAACTTGATTTAAATTTCAATTAATCTAATTTTTTTCTCAAGGGAATAAAATGCACTAAATTTTAAAGTTATTTATTTCCAAAAAAATAAAATAACAACAATAATAATAATAATTTAAAGTGTAACAAAGGACACAAATCCCACTAACATATTCCCACAGATGGCGGGCTTCATCATACTGATAAAATCCAAACAGATATCAGTCAAAATTCGAAGCTCGCATATTCTTGTCATTTATCGGAGTCATTAATCCCCACATAGTCAATCAAAGAAAAGAGACAGCAAGGCCGTGCCACTTGGACCATGTTTCATTGGCTAGCTTTCGAGTTAGTCTCCATCTTCTCTCTAAGAAGCCCTCGCATTATTTCCCCGTGGTGGGCATGGCTTTATGATTCTTGCGTAACAGTTCGTCCAAAAGAGAAAAGTCAAGCTATTTGGTCTTACTCGAAAGCCCTTGTACTTGATTATTTCTTTGATACGATCCACAATAAAGATATCTCCATCATTGTCTATGCACCCAATGTCACCAGGGCGCAGCCATCCGTCAGTGTCAATGGTCTTGCCCGTCTCCTCCTCTTTGTTACAGTAACCTGTGAAGTTAGTGGAAGTCAAGCTATGAGTATTCGATCTTTGTACCTTGCATAACACATTGACTTCCTACACAAATTTCACCAGGGGTGTTCCGAGGGAGAGTCCGGCCAGTTTCAGAATCCTACTGGGTTTTTCTTTGCAATGCCATGGCATTTACTAGGATCCCCATGAGTGAGTGTGATGCAGTTGTGCTCTGTCAGTCCATATGCCTGACCAAAAACACGTCAGGTAGCACATTAATTTGAACATGATTTTTTCGTAAAGAATATTCGACCAGATGAAAACAATGAATCACAGGCAGAGCATTTCTTGGAAATAAATCATTCAACAATCATGTCTAATTCACAACAATGGAGCAAAATTATACTCGCCTCTTGGACTTGGACGCCAGGGAACTTGTTTTCAAAGGCAGCGAGCAGCTCCGGGCCAAGTGGAGCTTCTGCAGTCATAATGGTCTTCAGTTTGAGATCAAATTCCTCCACTATTGGATTCTTAACTAAGGCCAATTGGTGCAAAATTGACCTCCTGTGTGATCAACGTATTTAGAAATATCCTGAGTTCAAACCTGCCCATCACCACTACTTTCCCCTTGTTCCTTACAGTCGCACAACATATTCCAGTGATACCGTATGTGTGAAAGAAAGGAAATAGGCCCAGTGTGGCAACATGGCCCATCATTTCTGGGTCTCCACTGAAGAGACTGGAGCACAAATTAGCCACCAGATTCCGATGGGCTAACATCACACCCTTTGACATCCCGGTGGTGCCTGATGAGAATGGAAGTGCACATAGATCACTCTGGAGGACTTCCTCATAAGCAAGTGTATCTCCAGCACGGTCAGCTGCATCAAGCAGTTCATTCCAATTC